CAAAAAGTAAACTAATAAAAAAAAATTAAAAAAAAAGTATTGTTAGAAGGTGTTCAACAATAAACAGTGTATTGTTGAAAGCTCATAGGTACCTACTACAATACACAGTGTATTGTTAGAAGGTGTTCAACAATAAACAGTGTATTGTTGAAAGCTCATAGGTACCTACTACAATACACAGTGTATTGTTAGAAGGTGTTCAACAATAAACAGTGTATTGTTGAAAGCTCATAGGTACCTACTACAATACACAGTGTATTGTTAGAAGGTGTTCAACAATAAACAGTGTATTGTTGAAAGCTCATAGGTACCTACTACAATACACAGTGTATTGTTAGAAGGTGTTCAACAATACACAGTGTATTGTTGAAAGCTCGCTAACAATACACAGTGTATTGTTGAAAGCTCGCTAACAATACACAGTGTATTGTCAAATGCCTAAACATACAACACACTGTGTATTGTTATATTAGTTACCAGGATTATCTGCAGAGTAAGGAAACCCCTAACAAAATTCGTAATCATATCCCTAAAGTTAGACATTACTGAATCCTAACTCTGGACATAATCCTCACTGAACACTATTTAACATTATGATCATAACCCTAACCCTAACCCTAACCCTAATCATGTACATAACCCTAACCCTAAACCTAACCCTAATCATGTACATAATCCTAAGCCTAATCCAAAGTGACTCCGAATTAAAATTTTAACCGCGCGCACGCGCACGCACGCACGCACACACACACACACACACACACACACACACACACACACACACACACACACATATATATATATATATATATCTCTTACATGTATACGTGGTATTACATGGCGAATGCTATTGTGTTTGTAGGTGGTTTCCGGAATCTGTACATTGGCTGGTCACACAAGCCCGCTATGATGAAGCTAACGCCATACTGCAGAAGGCTGCAAAGGTGCGAATATCAAGGACGCGTCAGAAATAACATGACTATTGGAAATATCACATAAAATATTGACACGTTGGTTTTGCTGCATCTGCTTGTCTAGTTATCATTGTGAACGTATTGAGAGAGCGGGAGCAAGAGAGACACAGGGAAAAAGAAAGAGAAAGAGCGAGAAAGGAATAAATAGGGATAGACAGCAAGGACAGGAGAGAGAGAGAACAACGAGAGAGAGAGAGAGAGAGAGAGAGAGAGAGAGAGAGAGATAGAGTAGCGAGCGAGAGCGAGAGATACATAGAGAGAAATAGAGAAA